GCTGCTGGATAGAATCACTGGAGCGGAGTCAGTGAACTGCTGGAACGGACTGCTAATATCGGAGCGCTTATATCGGACATTTTTTATGCAGGCCGATAAAATCCGATACTCATTTTTTGGCTGATATCGGATCGATATCCGATATCAATATCAGATCGAGACACCCCTAAAAAATACTACTTCTAAACTCTTGAAATACATRAGTCAACAATTATTGCATTTSAAACCATCCTTTGCGWTATGAATATTGCGCACACTGATATTGCGATYACGATATATTTGRGATATATTGTGCAGCCCTAGTYTATTCTAGGTATTCTCTCACTAAAAAATTCCTCACCCTAGGGATGTACAAGTACTCGTCATGAGTCGTCACAGAACAAATGTCAGTACCTGGTGGACACAACCAGGTGAAAAGTGTATAAGTATTGCACAAGCAATCATCACTTTTTAGAAGAGGGCACYTTTTGGGMTTTTTATTTATTTATTTTTTTCCCACAACAGCCAAAACAGGAAATGAGTAGAGTCAGATGCCAACTAAAGCACAAAGCAAGTCGAGTACAGATGAAATGAGAGGTTAAAGAGCTGCCTGTTTGCTTCAGATCAGCTGTGTGGGAAAGTTTTGTGTTACATATTTGTGCTTTGAAAAACCACATTTAAATATACTGTACCACCAGACATTTAATTCACTCCAGGCATGGATGGACAGCACACTAGCAGATTGTTTTTAACATTTTATTTGTATTTTCACATTCTGTGTAGTCTTTGATTTTGTATCGAGTTTAGGGAAAATTAATTGAGATAAACTTCTAAACAAAGGCAAAATACCTTTCAGTTTTTTTTTCTTTCTTGTACCCTACTTGATACATTTAGCTGAGAAATGTGAAATTTTGGTTGTTGAACAGTACGTATTGATCGATGTTTATCAGCCATTGAGTACCCAGATTTATAAAGATTGGCATCACTCATGTAAGAAAAACAGGATCAGGAATGGCGTCTGAATAAATTTGCAGGAAACCAGTTGATTCTCTCCTAAAACGTTTTATTCAAAAATCTGATCTCCCCCGATTCATAATGGCAAAATTAGTTCGCCTCACAAAATAGTTCCTCCTGATGAGCTCAGTTTGTAATTTGTTTTGTTGTTGTGTTTTTCCAACMACTTTTACTTTTCATGAGTCAAAAGCAAGACAGTGTGTGTGCGTCCCACTGTGCGCGTTGGGCCTGGTGTGCGACAAATGTGCTGTTTTTCAGCACCATGCACATTGCGCTCAGGTGGCCTGAGGTGCGCTGATGAGTTTTTCTCCGATAAAATTCTGCAGACGCCGCATTATGAGGCTGTAAAACCAACATGATAGCACGTTCTATTGAATGTTTAGTCATTATTTAAAAAAGAAAGTGACGGGTAAAAATTTATCATGACAGATTTTTTTTTACCCTGTCAGTCAAAATGATGGACAGCAAATAAAGTCAAGCACAACCTCTGTCCGCCTCACCAATATTTATGCTCACGAGCTGCTATTGTAAATGATCAGCCGTCAAAACTTGGACCACTACTTTCGTCAGGGGTGGATTAGCCTACCGAGGATTTCTCAGCTTCCCACCATGTTCTTTACTGCACAGCAGTCAGCTGATCTGCTCATGCGGTCGCAGGTGGACAGGGTGACGGGGAAAAAAAACATCTCTGTGGCACTTTGTATCTGATCACAAATCAGATACAAATCTTGTCTCTCCTAGAACCACACAAACTAAATCTCTGTCTCTGGTATCTGAGAGATGTGTGGTGCTGCGGCTCAAGCTGTCATTCTTCAGTAGAACAAAACATGTCAATCAACAGGGGCGCTGCGAGTGAGGGTGGCCAGGAGGGGCGATGCCCCCACCCCTAGAAAAATAGTGGCCAGGGCTGGACTGGCCATCTGGCGTATCAGGCAATGCCCGGTGGGCCGACGCTCATTTATGGGCCGGTTCGGGTCTGTCATGAACCAAAAAAAAATATTATAAACAATTTTTGTCGATCGCGACYGCCTATTGGTTGATTTTCATGATCGATATTAAGCTAAGCCAATGAAATCTCTCAGCACTCCTCTGCCGGCCCGGCAAGACCCTCCCCTTTTCAACCAAAGTTATAAATCCTGCCAGAAGCTGCCGGTCCGGAGTTGGAAAGTAGGGAGCACTGGACAAAGCTCGTCAAGAAACTGGGGGGGGGGGGCCTTGGAGCAATTGACTCTGCTCCTCACCGGTCAGCCGGTGTGTGATCTGGCTGGGTTTTCCTGATAAGAAAAGCCCATAGAGATTGTGTTTAAACTCCTCCCACTCGACCCACCGCTTCTGCCGGAGTTAGAGTGAAGCTCAGCTAGCGGACATGTCCCGACTCGTCAGCTCTTTGTTAGAGATTAGCTAAACCTGCACCGTGCAAGTTGAATTAAAAAGAATATAACAGGGTTGCKGCGGGGTGGTAAAAGGWAGTAAATTAAAAGAGCTCAAATTAAGGCCAGTGAAAAGTTACATACAGGGACAGTTAATGTTGCTTTATGTCACAGTACCGGCAAGAACTTAAAACTTTCATCCCAGACTAAAAGTATGTTCAGAATTTTACAATTTTAAACCTAAACAATAAAACACAAACTGACAGCTCTGAAAAGGAAATAATTTGGGGCAATAATGTATCTAACCTTCCCCCTCACTGACTTTATGCAGGTGTCGCTGTTATTGTTCTATGACTGACATCTTGTACTTAAGTTTTGTGAGTCGAAATATCCTTTCAAGACACATGGCAGGGTTTCTGCAGATCCTTAAAAGGCATTGACTTCATCAGTACAAAAAGTAAGGCCTTAATTAGCCTTAAAATGTCATAAATCAATCTTTCAGAGGTCTGAAAAAACCCATTGTAGCTAAATAGGATTATTGTAATTCATCTCAAATTTTAAAGTAATTGGTAACATTTATTTAGTTTAAAGTTAACAAAATTTTGTTTTGGTAAAGTAAACATTTGGGTAAAATTGTTGCAAAGTTTATTTATTTTTGTTTTGCTTTGTTTTGTCCTGATGCATCTCATCTTAATCTTTTCTTTTTGATTTTATTTTTCGTATTGTTTTTTTGTGAAGTTGGTCTTAAAATAAATTTCAAGTGGCGTTAAAGAGGTCTTAAAAAGTCTTTAATTGAACTTGTTTTAAGCTTTAGGAACCCTGTATGGTTTTACTAAATATAATAARAACAAAAGCTGTTTTGTTCTTTTGCAGAGCAACCCCAAGTTCCTTGCCATGGGTGATCATCTGAAACAATTATTTGATCAAGAGTTTAAGAAAGCCTTCAACATCCATGCTTAGACGACAAACTTGTGGACCAAATTGTGGAAATGTTACAAATGTAAAATATAAATGTTACGACCGTAACATTTGTCCAAATGAATTGTTTTGTWTTAAATTGAACTGTCAGTATGTAGAAAATCACTGTGAAGGTGAAAAAATACTGAACTATACGAGCATCATTATTCTCATCTGGTACATTATGTTTTCTTTCTGGTGCAAAAGTTTTTTGGTTTAGTTTTTTTTTTTTTAACATTTTAACTAGTGTGCAACTACAGTCACACGTTTAACACAACCACGGTTTTTTAACTTAATTTTTAAGGTATTGATGCTATACTCACCGGCCACATTTATTAGGTTCACCATAGCATCAGTCTAAAAAACCACCTTTGGGATGTTGTGGAATGGGAGATTCCCATCATGGATGTGCAGCGGAAAATCTGCAGCAACTGTGTGATGCTGTGTCAATATGGATGGAATGTTTCCAGCACCTCGTTGAATCTATGACACGAAAGATTAAGGCAGTTCTGAAGGCAAAAGGGAGTCCAACCCGGTACTAGCAAGGTGTAAAGTGGCCAGTGAGCGTATGAGTAACAATGTGCATTAAAACTATTTAAAAATGTTCTTCTTGATTTTAATATTATTATTATTAGGATCACGTAACACTTTTTTTAATAAATGTATTTTAAAATGTCTTTTATGAAAGATTTGAATGTCACTGTATTTCCAGTTGTACTACTTTCTCTACACTTTAAATGTGTAAATAAAAAATTATGTTGAGCTGTTTCAGTTTATTAACAATTAGAGATGTGTGGATTGACACTGAAATATCAATACAACTTGATGCTCTAAAATCAAAATATTGATATTTTGATACTTCTGTCATTTCAAGTCATGTTCTATATCATAAACAGTCACAGTGGAAAYCAACTAAACAAAATCTTGTCAGTCATACATGGTTGGTAGGAACRACTTTTTCTTCCACCTTAATAAGTGCAGCAGCACATCCTCAGTCACTCGTGGTTAATATTTTCATGTTAATATGTTCATGTAATGTAAATTAAGCTCAGGGTTCCCACGGGTCCTTGAAATCCTTGAAAGTTTGTGGATTTGAAATATATATATATTTCAAGGCCCTGGAAAGTTTGTGAAAACAGCCAAAAAAATGCACTTGTCCTTGAAAGTCCTTGAATGTTTTTTTTGGGGATTGAAATTCTCTATTCATTTGACTGATTTTCATCATCTTAAAAAAATAAATTATAAAATGAAATGAAAAAAAAAACTTACATTTTTTTCGGTGGATAACTCAGGATCAACAGGATAAACTGACGTCATTGTTTCTGACTCAACAATTTCTCTATCTCTCTAAAACCCTGCATGTCGTTTTTAGCAATTATACTTAAAGCGTAGATATATGACATTGTAGTTTTTTTAATCAGGTCAAAGTTACATAAAGACAACAAGAGAGTTGCGTCTGTCTACTTAACCAGTTAATTTCTATTGCGTTTGAGCAAACAATGTCATTTTATTGGGGGGGTGGTGGTATTTTGACTGGATCAAATTATTGTGGGGGTCATAACCCCCCTAATCCCCCTGCAAATTACGCTTATGAAAGCAAGAAGATGGTAAAGATAAGGGATGGATGATTTATTTGAAGCTAGCCTTTTCTTTCACAATATTATTGTTACGAGGCCTAAAGGTGAAAACTTGAGGCGTACTGATGAGGAACTATGGTGGAAGATGGGAAAAGGTGGTCCCTCAGCTTACCATGTCAACCAGGAACTGACCCACCTATTGTTACTGTAGTAGCAGATGTACTGACCAGGCTGATCATAAAACTGGACCATGCCTGATAATACCTGCCCAACCTGCTGGACAAGTATTCATTTACAACCAGTTTATTAAACCTCACTTCCAAAAAATTTGAACTGTCACTTTAAGACAAAAAAAAAAAAACGAATAACAGACATTCCTAAAAACATGAATATCCCTAAGACTGCTTTTTAGTCTTTTTTTTTTCTCAAGTTTGTTATGATTCTTTTTACTCACTTCAACTCAATAATAATATGAAAGCTTTGTATGTTCGCATGTTACTTCTGTGGTTTGATGCTTTTCTGCTGAGCACGTGCCGTGCGGCCAGCTGACGTCACCGCCGCGGTCTCCAGCAGCAAATCTGAGCTGAGAGCTGCGCAGCCGCTCTGCGCATCCGTCAGCTGAGCAGTGGTAGACAGCGCAGCCATTTCCCTGCTCCACCTAACCCCCTTTTACAAAAGAAGCAAACAACAACAAAAACAAAAAAACAATATGCTCGGACAGATGCCGAACCTCCGCGAACACAGCGCCTCGGCGGTGCCGAAGTGACGACCGGAGCGGAGCCGCCTGACTGCAGCCCCCCCCGAAAGTCTGCATCGCTGGTTCCAGAAGACAGCCGCCATCTAAAAAAAAAAAAAAAAACTTTCCCCTCCACAGCGATCTGCGCAGACTGGACCGAGCTGCGCCTCCTCCGTCAGCCATGGAGGCGAACCCGCAGGGAGGCGGCGCCGACGTCGCGGGGATGCACGTGAAGACCGAAGCCGCGGATGAAAGCCCATCTGCGCTGGTTCTGGGCAGCCAGGAGTCACCGCCTGCGCCCTGTGGAGATGCCGCATGCGGAGCGGCAGGAGGAGGGCAGCAGACTGCGGAGGAGCTGCAGGCCGCCACCACAACACCCCCCGTTCTGCTGTGTGAGTGGATGAGTTCAAASCTGTGTTTATATCTAAATATAATGCAAGAAATAATTATTACAACATGTTCACAGCATTAAAAGCTTGTTTATGCGTTATATTTGTATCTCAGATCCAGTGAGCACAGATCGGTTCTTTACCTCATCAGCAGATGGAAAAACATACCTGAAGATTGCCCCAGGTGAGTGGAAGTATGTCTGAAAAGTTTAAATGTTTTCTACAATTTTAGTTAAAACAAATTGTAATGACTGGCAAATCTCACAATTCCATATTTTATCAGTGATGGAGCGTAACATATCAAATGTTAAACTAAGAAATTGTATTAAAAAAGAAAAGGTAATTAGAAAGATTGAAAAATAAAATTCTTCAGGGCCATGTTTCCCCGTGAAGCATATAGCTACCCCCTTTTTTAACAACGGTTTGTCAACATCCAGAAACTGAGTAGCAGCTGCTGGTGTTTTTGGAGGGAAATGTCCCATAAGGTGTTGGATTCTCCATGTGTAACACATCTGGACCATATTTGCCATATTTTTGGATTCATGATGTTTTCAATCAGTGAGAGGTCTGGACTGAAGGCCATAAAGCCATGCTGTTGTAACAGATGCAGTCTGTGGTTTTGCAGTGACTTGCTGAAAAGACTGTAAGCTGCCAATGCCATAGACACTAATGCACCCCCATACCAACAGAGAGGAAGGCTTTTGAGCTGTGTTCTGATTAGGCTTGGGTGAAATTCTGGTGCGCATGTGAACCTAATGGTGAAAGGCAGCACAGGACAACTAACCCTAACCTGAGGAACTTGTTTATTCACCTGAAACAATGACGTAAACTGGACATAAACTTTGTTCTTTTCAGATCTGGGTTTGTAATAAAACACATACTTGAATTTTTAAATCTATGCTGGTTTGGATCCACATATTTATACATTCAGATCAGAGATACTCATTTGGAGAATAACATCAACTGAAGTCTCTCATGAAAAACCAAACCTCCAAACCAGTTTTAACTTTGACTGAAATACTTGCCTTTGTACATTTAGCAGAACATTATGCATTTTTCCCTCTAATTTAATTTACACATGAAGCGAGCCCACACAAAACTTACTCAAAGTCACCTTTGTCCTGTCCCAGCTGCAGTGCTGCCACCCACTCCTGCAGAGAAGACCCTTTCATCTGGCTCAGATTTCTCCTCTAAAGCAGTTTTGTGTTTGATCGAGGCCGTCGGGCGCCGCTGGGGCCTCTACGAAACCCGGGAACGCTCGCAGCTCTTCCAGAGCGTCCAGGAAGAGATGGCCGCCAAGGGCCACGTCCTTCCTGTGGAAAAGATCCGCCGCAAATGGAATAACCTCATTGTCACATACAAGAGGGTCAAAGACCGCAGCCGGGAGACGGGACACGCCAAGACCTCCTGGGAGTTCTTTGATGTAAGTCTGAGATTTGAGCTGCTGTYGTGGACTTTATCACACTATACAAGGATGCTTTGTCTTTGGGTATAGCAAAAATGTGAAACAAAAGCTCTATTTGTGTTTCWTACTCCAGAAACAGACAGGAAAACCATCTGAGAGAACCCAAGATTGGAGTTATGTGATCACACCATTTTATACCAGCAAAAAAAACAAGCACCTATGTTTACAGGTGGTGAAGAAAAATGTACTTCTTGGTGTACAAATATTTTACCCAAAGACAAATGCTGGCAACTCTAAACCAGAACCCTAAATAGCAAATGCTGTAAACAACAAAAAAGGTCCCAAATTGAATTTTCAGAATATGGCYACCACAGATTGGTTTTAAAACCAAGACAAACCCTATAGACCTGCATATTGAACATTCATTCRGATTCCCTGTCACTGCAGTCTTTAACTGCTTAATGTGACGGGGGMTTACCCATTTTGGCCACCCTCAGGKACCCTCAGCTTTTCTCTGTTATCCATTCCAAACCAATAGCTGCTTGAAACTCGAGATGGCACTGCTTAAATGCTGAATATATAGCCTCAGGATGCCAGAACTAAAAAAGAGATAAAGGTTCTTTAGCTCTATTCATGTCCTACAGAAGTTTGTAACAGTTTACCAATAGTTCCAAAGGCCATTTAAACAAAATTCCATCCATCCATCCATCCATCCATCCATCCATTCATCCATCCATCCATTCATCCATCCATCCATTCATCCATTCATTTATCCATCCATCCATCCATCCATCCATTCATCCATCCATCCATCAATCCATCAATCAAACTATTTAAACAGAAATTCAGATTTTAGAAATCTGAAACATTGTACAGTCAAAATTTTAATAAAACAGTCTGGACAGGATTTAATAAGTAAGTTATMATATATAGTGGTGGCACAGTTGATAGAGCTTTTGCCGGAATGAATCAAAYCCGGGGGCCTTCTCATGTTCTGTGGGTTTTCTCCAGGTACTCTGGTTTCCTCCAACAGACCACAAACATGACTGGTAGGCTAAAGCCGGATTCACACCAAARGCGTTTTGAGCAGCAAAAATGTGCCCAATGCCTCCAGTTGGACGCACTACGTTCAGACTGGGACAGAGACTAGACGCGTGTCTGAAGAGTGGGGAGCATCTTGGTTTTTTCCGGTCTGTCTTTAATGATGGGTGAAATAAAGATGAAATTTAAAAAAATGGCTTTGCATTATTTACTAAAGAGCAAGCGAACGTTGTGCTCACCAATTAATTAATTCACCAGATAATTTAGAGGCGGTCTGTTCAGTGAACACCAACTACAGACGGTCGATTTCAGCTAAAGAGCTGCTGTCCTTCTGTTTCGGGTTAGTGGGCAACATTCAGGAAACCGTCACATGGAAAAATGATTCTCTCTGATTGGTTGACATGACGCGTTGAGCAGCAAAAGTTCAGTTTTTTTAACTCGAGCAGCGGCTGCTTTGGACGCGCCGCATGCACGGAAAATACTCTGCCTCACCTACCGCTACCTTATGCGCCACGCTAAACTGGCAAAACGTGCCGTGCTGCTCCTAGATGCGCGTCCACCTTAGACTTTGCATATAAACTGGCTGCTTTGGTTGCTCAAAACYCATCCGGTGTGTACCTGGCTTAACTGGAAACTCTAAATTGTCCCCAGGTWTGAGTGAGAGCGTGACTGGTTTGTTTGGCTCTGTGATGGACTCGTGAGCAGTCCAGGGTGTACCCCGCCCCTCGTACAGTGATTGCTGAATATGGGCACCAGTGACCCCAAAACTCTGAAAGGAAGAAGCAGGTAAAGATAATGGATGGATGGATGGATGGATGGATGGATGGATGGATGGATGGATGGATGGATGGATGGATGGATGGTGTATGGTATTTGAAAAACATGCCTTGAGGCAGGAAGCACAGCCTAAAACGAAGTAGCTGTAACCATAAATGTTCTCCACTGGAATTGGACTTCTGTTGAAAGATATTTGCCGATCAGTTGACCTTGGTGGTACAATCAACAAAATGGTTTTATTTATGTACATCTCTTCATTTTTTGTTTCTGTCTTTTCTTACTGCAGTTGATGGACGCCACCCTRTCTGACACCATTGGTACGCAGATCATCAACAACAAAAGAAGCAAAGGTAGCAGTACCGCTCCTGCACTGCTGGGTCCTTCCACAAAGATRGCTGCAAAGCCAGCCCAGCTTCCACAGCCAACCACTGTCATCCGTCCTAACGGAGACTTCTCCGTGACTGGTGGTGTGGATACCACATGTCTGGGGACCTCCACCAGTCAAATCATCAGTAGCCCTCCAGCCAGCYCCTCACAGACTGCAGCAACCATCAGTGCAGTAAATACTCCAGAGCTCAAGCCCCTTATTGTCCTCAATGGCGATGTTGTTGCCACTAGTATTCAGCCAGCCACCATCATACCAGCTTCGTCTTTTATCTCCTCATCTTGCCTGACAGAAACAACCTCTACATCTCCCTCACTTGTCTCAGCCAGGAGCACAGACCTCAACACGGCAGGGTACAAAAGCTGTAAAGCTTCGTCTTTCACGTCTGGTGTTTTACCTTTCTGCCTTACTACAGCGCCACTCAGTCACAGTCCAAATGTCCTTGGGCTCTCTTCYTTTTCCTCAACATCCTCCTGTCACACTGCATCTCTAGCCACCTCGGTAACTCCATCAGTCCTCCCAGGAACTGAAGGGCAGAGCCAGAAAGGAAACCAAGAGCAAACCAGCTTTCCTTTGTTTCAGGAGATCTTGAAGCGGCAGGAGGAGCAYGCTTACCTGGATCGAGTGGCTCGCCGTAGGGTGGAAGCTCGAGAGAAGAGGCGTGAAAGGAGGGAGGTGCGAATGTCAGAATCCCTCGGACGGATAGCCACGGCCTTGGAGCTGCTCTCTTCCAAGCAGGACACAATCATTGCTCTTCTGCAGAGACTGGCTGATCGCAAGTGAGAGGTGTTCAGTCTGGAAAGCTGCATTTCATTCTCATTCAGAGTTTATGCTTATCAAAATATCTCCTATGTTTTGATCCAGCACATAATCCTGAGGGTTTTCTTAGCAGTGTGTTATCATCKATTTTAAAACAAAAGGTTTTCGTTTAGTGTCACACATGAGTGTAATAGTATGTRATGCTGTACATGTCAATTTGCTGCTCCTACAATAAAGGAAAGTAATTTTTAAAAAATGCACTGGTAAAAATTTATGCCTAAGGGTGGCACAATACTGTATAAGCAAAATAAATGAGTTAATTAGTAAATTTATGTAAATGTATGCTTTATGATTAGCTATATTGTTGATAGATCAGAAGACATCTGGAAAACCTTCAGTGTAATGGCTGTCATGATGCTTCTACACACAGTACTCTACAATTAAAAATTTCTATTTTACAAGACCCTGGGACACATTAGCAAGCTGCTTCTACCACAGACATTGCATGTGCAAGTTTCCACAACCTTCCCACATAGCAAAATGTGTCTAGTCCAGTTCTGGCCCACGCAATGCTCTAACACTTGGCACAGATACTTCAAAGAATGACGGTCTTATGGTGGCTCAGAGGTGGTCCACATATGGGCAAGCACCACATAAACCTAAACATAACTGYGCCAGTTATGAAAGTGAGAGATTTGGGTCACCTAAACCAAACCACAAGTGGGCCAGTTGTGGCATGCATCATAAAAATAGTGCCGTCATTGCCAGACCTGGCCCACATGACAAACCACTTGCCATGCCAGCTTGACACCAGATCTGGCCCACACCTGTCAGTGAGGTGGGCTGTCACAATTGCAATTGCAGTTAGACTATGCATAAAGGCCAGGCTTCAAATTGTTGGCAACAGGTGCCACCATACCTCCCCTTACTCCACTTAGGACTTTGATAAACTGCTGCCTCAGTGGTAAACCACCACAACCTCACTGCAGAGGTTTTGTGCACACATCCACCATCTATCATCCCATGCCATGTAATATGGATTTCCTTTAGTGGAAGAAAAAAGGTTACATGATGATAAATGGCATAGGYATACAGAAACTTCAGTGTAGCCTGTGCCCTTTCATTTTCTGGTGTTWTTTGTCATCCCTTTTACTTTCATAATTATTGTTCATGTCCTGGTCTTTATCCCTGACTTTATCATAAAKCATGAAGAGTATTCACCACTAGATGGTGCAACTCAACTTTTAAATAATGTAGTTTTTGGTCAGTTCTGAACCACTATAAGGTCTTTAATAGAATTGTGTAAATTGATTATTAGTAGCATTTCTGTTACTTCAGTTTATTTAAAGTACAATGTCATACACAAAACTTGGAAGTGATTGCACAAGCCTAAAGTAAAGTTAAACTAAAAGGTCAACAACCATGTCTTAACATGAAGTCACTCCCACCTCACATTTTATCTTTAGTTTCACTTTCGTTGGACTCCCTTTTCGGAAAAGACTTTGTAGAGTCTGGAGGAAAACTGAGGAGCTGCTGTAAAGATCCAACAGTACTTGGTGGGTTTTGTGAAATCTCTGTTTCTGCCATGAACTCTAACGACTTTCTGGAAGAAGAAAAGGACAATAAACATCAGGGTAATATGAGWATGAACTTTATTGATTTTTTTTATTCTGCCAGGTTTCCTTCATTTTACTTGACACAAGACCTTTTCATACAAATACCTATTTTACTTCATTCCTGTCACACCAACTTGTTTTTTCAAATGACATAAATTGGTAATTCTTGGAAGATATTCTGTCTACTTGTAAAAAATATGCGTCAAAGGCCAGAAGCACCAAAACTTGACAAAGTCATCAATGGTAACAAAACCACACATAACACTAAGGAAGTTGTAAAACTGATTTGCTAACAGAAGTAAAAAAAAAAAAAAGTGTTGGCATTTTGTGCCTTACAGAGCTGTGCTGCTGAACATACCCGTTGTATTCAGCAACCATTTCAAGGAAAGATTATAATCTGTTGACATAAAAAAAATGCATGGCCACGAGATTATTCTTAGTCATCTTCATGCAGTTGTTTGTTCACATGGACAAGTTTGCTTTAATTTCATTTCATTTTAATATTGTGCTATATTGTACTATAATATCCAATTATGTGCTTTATTTACTTTATTATTATTTATGCATGATGTAATTCTTAGCAAGAGACAGTTCAGTTGCTCAAATTGATCTCAGTGCCATGAGATAGTAAAGTGTGGGCATGCATATTTTTTAAATATTTTTTATCCCATGTCTACAGATGGGTTTCTAAAATACTGCAATTGCAAGATTTGTAAAATGGTGTGTTTGGTTCTTTTCAAGGAGATACTGTCGCTCTCTGGCCAATCAATGATCTGCAATCTGCTGGCTGCAAATGTATAGCTTGACGTGTCTCATTTAGAACTGCGGCCAAGGAAGCACTAAAAACCAAGCTGGACGTGGGTGGGATCACAATGAAAAGACTGAAGCAGTTCTGAGTCGACGAAAGTGTGTGTGTGTGTGTGTGTGTGTGTGTGTGTGTGTGTGTGTGTGTGTGTGTGTGTGTGTGTGTG